CACTCTAGCCTGGGCAACAAAGCGAGACTCTGTCTCAAAAAAAAAAAAATAAAATAAAATAAAAGGACATAAGTATAAACAGACATGTTGGTGTTAACATTAGTAAACAGAGAGGTGTCCGTGTGAAGCCAGGATGGAAATGCACCAAACTGCTATCACTGGCCACCTCCAGGGTCACTGGGAGGCAGGGGTGGCAACTTTTTTTTTTTTTTTTTTCTCAGGTCTTCTTAGGTTTCTAAACTGGGCACTGGGTAAACCAAACACTTCTCTGGGCTTGATGTGGCCTGCTAGCCAGCAGGCGTGGGCCAGGCTGCAGGGACTGAAGAGTCCATAAAAAGGCACACGAATGCTGCAGCTCTTATAAGGTCTCCAGTAACAGGGGGCGGTTGTTTCCCCACTTACCTCTGGGCCCAAGGTGGGGGAAACAAGTCAGGCAAATCATTCCCCTTACAAAATGTATAAGGCCTAAACTAATCAGGCCTAATAATCTGGGAAATTATTCTAAAGTTTGAATTTAATAAAAGATGTATTTAAGAGGTAGTAAGAGTATTTAAGAGGCATTGTGTGAAGGCTGTGAAAATTTGGGGAGGAGAAACAGAATGGTACACTAAGAAATCTTTATTTTTAATTCAGAAATCTAGTATTAATATTTTTAAAGTGAATTTGCCAATATAACATATTATTTTAACAGACCACTTGGTGGCAGCACAGGCTGTATTTTTTTCTTTTTTTTTAATTTCAGGAAAATATGAGAGTACAAACATCTTGGTTACATTTTGTATCTTTGTCTCTCCCTCGCAAGGGAGCAGCACAGGCTGTATTTTAAATAACAGCACCCTTATTTTTCCATTCTTGAGATACATCACTTAGTAGAATGGGTGCCAGCTCTATCCAGGAAAATACAAGAGGTGCTATATCGCCATTGTTTCTTAAAGCTGAGTAGTACTCCATGGAATACATATACGACATTTTATTAATCCACTCATGTATTGATGGGTACCTGGGTTGTTTCCACACCTTTGTGACTGTGAACTGTGCTGCTATAAACATTCGAGTGCAGGTGTCCCATTTGTACAGTGTCATTTGATCTTTTGGGTAGATGCCCAGTAGTGGAATTGCTGGATCACATGGTAGATCTACTTGTATCGCTTTAAGGTATCTCCATATTGCTTTCCACAAGGCTGAACAGTTTCAGTCCCACCACATGTAGGAGCTGTTCCTCTCCTTTCCCGCATCCATGCACAACATTTATTGTTTGTGGACTTTTGATAACGGCCAATTCTTACTGGAAAGTATATCATTGCAATTTGATTTGCTTCCCTGATGATACAGATGTTGAGCATTTTATATGTTTTTGCCTTTATTTGTCTTTCTTTGAAAAATGTCTGTTCTGGTCTTTGTCCATTTCGATAGGGTTGTTTGATTCTTGCTGATTTTACGAGTCTAAATAGATTCTCAGTATCACCCCTTTATTGGATGTGTCTGCGAAAATTTTCTCCATTCTATGGTTGTCTGTTTGTTCTCCTGATAGTTTCTGTGGCTGTGCAGAACTTTTAATTTGATAGCCCCATTTATTTATTGTTGCTGCTGTGATGTTGGTCTTTCATATCTTGCTGCCAATGTCTAGAAAGAGCATTTAAACATTCTTCCTCTAGGATTCTAATAGTTTCACACCTAATGTCAGTCTGTTAACCCAGCGTAGCTGATTTTTGTGAGAGGTGAAAGGTGTGGTTCTGTTTCAGTCTTCTTCATGTGGCTATCCAGTTTTCCCAGCACCATTTATTGAATAAGGATTCTCTTCCCCAGAGTATGTTTTGTCTGCTTTGTCGAAGATTATTGGCTATATGAGATGGTTATATCTGGGTTCTCTGTTCTGTTCCACTGGTCAATGCCCTGTTCTTGTGCCAATCACAAGCTGTTTAATGACTATACCCTTATAGATATATGAAGTCTGGTAAATTGATACCTCCTATTTTGTTTTTATTGCCTAGGATTGATTTTGCTATCCAGGGTCTTCTCTGGTTCCATACAAAGCATAAAATTATTTTTTCTATATTTGTGAAAAATGATGATGGTATTTTAATTGACTCTGTAGGTCACTTTGGGTAGTATAGACATTTTAACAATGTTGATTCTGCTGACCCATGAGCATGGTATGGTCTTCCACCTGTTTACATCCTCCACTATTTCCTTCTTCAGTGTTTCATAGTTCTCCCTGTAGAGGTCTTTTACCTCCTTAGTTAAATATATTCCTAGGTACTTTATTTTCTTTGTTGCTATTCTGAAGGGAATTGAGTCTTCACTTGTACTGTTGTTGGCGTATATGAATGCCTCTGATTTCTGTGTATTGATTTTGTATCCTGAGACTTTACCAAATTCATTTATCAGATCAAGGAGTCTCTTGGTTGAATCCTCAGGGTTTTCTAGATATAACATCATGTCATCAGCTAAGAGAGTTTGCAAATTGGTATTAACGGATCAACACTTACGTGGACATATAGGAATAACATTTATTGGGTGTCAAGCGGGTGGGGGGGGCACGGGCAATATACGTAACCTTAACATTTGTACTCCCATAAAATGCTGAAAAAATAAAAATAAAAATAAATAAATAAATACTTTGAAGTATAGCACATGGGAGCTAGTTACGAAATAACTAGACAGGATCACACATGACGTGTATGTGGAGGGTAGTGGAGACGGCATGGCCCACAGTCAGTTCTCTTTGAAGCTGTCACCAGAACTGAGTGCAACTTCATTGATTCTCCACTAGCAAGTCAATTTCTAAGTAAGTATTTCTATAGATGATGAAATCAAATAAAGGTTTCTGAACTTTATGGATTTCATATAATAACTGTTCACAACAACCTAATTTGTCTTCTCCTAGCATTTTCTACACTCTAGTCATGGGAAAGACATTTTATGGAAATGTTCTTGCTAAGATAAAAAGTTCAGACTTCTAATACAAACATAAATCTTTTTTTTTACTATAGTAATCATTTCATTATGTATGCGTATATCAAAACATATTGTGCACCTTAAATATATAAAACTTTTATTAAAAATTATAATAAAAAAAACAGCTCACTGCAGGCACAGCAGAAGCTTTTCAGCCTGCTGGGCCCTGGGGGACAAGAAATGCTGCCCTGACGCTGGCCAAGAGCCACAGACTGAGGCTGGAGAGGAGGGCAGGGGCTCGCCTGCTGTGTGTGGAGGGCTCTGCTACCATAGAAGGCCTCTGTTCAGTGGCTGCAACGGAACCCACCTTTCCCAGCAGCTAACAGATCTGAATGAATTACTAGTGCCATACTGTCAAAACCTAGCCACTCTTTTCCGAATTGCTAGGCTTCACTCTTCTGTTTTCTCTTCTATCTTCTTCCCCACACAGATTTCAGCCCAGAAAGAATACAACTTCTTGCTGTTGGAACATAAAATCTAATGCAATGACAGTTTGCCAATAAAATCAGCATAGTAATAATTTAGGGAATGCTGGGAATATCTATTTCCAATAAAATTATACTAATATTGTCTCTGACTCTAGTCTCACTCAACATTGTAGTTGTTCTTTAAAAAATTCTATTATGATGTTCTGCTTACACAGCCCTACAAGTCAAAAAATAACAAAAACTTATAAAACCAGCTTAGAGAATTACATTACATGTCTCTGGGTTTCCAGTGTTGCTTCCTGACAGCACAGGCAACACTGCCATCTCAGCAGCCTTCACGGGTTGCTGGGTTCCTCGCTACTGCACGCGCTCAGGGCGCAGAGCCAGGCCACTCCTGCCAGAGAGGCAGGGCAGGGAACCCACTGTGGCAGAATTTCGGAATATAAGAAACGGATATCTGAGTGGTAATTTTAGTGAGAGTTCTCAAGTGACTCTTTCGTTCGCTAATTGGCCTCTAATTTTCTTTTGCCCCAAACCTAAATTCCTGCTGATTTCAAATATGGCAAAAACATTAACAAGAGGTGAATGTGGATAAATGGTATTTGGAGTTCTTTGTCCAAAAATTGTCTTGCAATTTTCCTCTAAGTTTTAAGTTACTTCCAAATGAAAAGTCTAAAGAGAAACTTTTCTTCCGCAATATCCAACTCTCGCTGCGGCTGCTCACCCGCCTGAGGTCGCTGTGCTCGCGGCAGCACACCAGCCTCCACACTGCTTTCTAGTCTGAATGTCTTGAAACACAAAGGATTCCATGGTTTACTTGGGTTTTCAAAACCGGCAAATTTGGCTCACGCCTGTAATCCTAGCACCCTGGGAGGCCGAGGCAGGCGGATAGCTCAACGTCAGGAGTTCGAAACCAGCCTGAGCGAGACCCCGTCTCTACCAAAAATAGAAAGAAATTAATTGACCAACTAAAAATATATATACAAAAAATTGGCCGGGCATGGTGGCACATGCCTGTAGTCCCAGCTACTCGGGAGGCTGAGGCAGGAGGATCACTTGAGCCCAGGAGATTGAGGTTGCTGTGAGCGAGGCTGACGCCAGGGCACTCACTCTAGTCTGGGCAACAAAGTGAGACTCTGTCTCAAAAAAAAAAAAAAAAAAAAAAACCGGCAAATTTTTTTTTTTTTTTTTTTTTTTTTTTGAGACAGAGTCTCGCTTTGTTCCCCATGCTAGAGTGAGTGCCGTGGCGTCAGTCTAGCTCACAGCAACCTCAAACTCCTGGGCTCAAGCGATCCTCCTGTCTCAGCCTCCCGAGTAGCTGGGACTACAGGCATGCGCCACCATGCCCGGCTAATTTTTTTCTATATATATTAGTTGGCCAATTAATTTCTTTCTATTTTTAGTAGAGACACGGTCTCACTCAGGCTGGTTTCGAACTCCTGACCTCAAGCAATCTGCCTGCCTCGGCCTCCCAGAGTGCTAGGATTACAGGCGTGAGCCACCGCGCCCGGCCAGCCAGCAAATTTTTTAAAAAATATTTTCTTTTGCATGTAAAGGATTATGACAACCAAATGATTGTGATTTTAAAAATAAAATTAATATATCACTACTTACCCTATGAATTATACCAGCTGAATGCAGATGTTTAATACCACAAAGCATCTGGTACAGAAGGTAGGACATTCTTTCATGGTCCAGCTCCATATGAATAACCTGACACAAGTTAGCATCCATTAATTCCATAACCAAATACCTGGGAAAGAAAAGATCAGCCATGTACATGAAAATTATCTAAAGTTCCCTATGACTACTAAACCAGAATCTTTATGAAACAGTAATAACATTGTACTGACTAAAGTAAAAAGAGAACTTGTTTTCTTTAAATATATAAGGTATTTTGAAAAGAAGCAAAGGTATACTGGAACTTTATAAAAAATTTTCTAAAGAATATGAAAACAACCAATTAACTCAATGTCTTAAAAATTAAAAACAAAAAATTTTTACATCATGGTAAACAGAATCTCGTACATTCAAATTCTCCTACTTCTTTAATTTTTTGCTATTGGCTCATACCTACCAGGGTACAAACCATGCTGTTACTGGCTCAGTGGCTAGGACCATGTCCCACCCTTGGTGGGGGATGCTGACAATGGGGGGCTGCGTAGGTGGGGGCAGGGTATGTGGGAACCCTGTATCTTCTGCTCAGTCTTGCTGTGAATCTAAATCGAGGTATCTACACTTGCCATCTCCACTTCTCCCATTTTCTATGACTGCACTTGGATCAGGCTTGTGCCCCACCACTCTGCTGAAACTGTCCCTCTCAAGGCCATCTGGCTCCCATATTGCTAAATCCAGTGGTTAGTCCTACAATCCAAGCTGGCCACGCCCTCTCTTGTCCCAAACTTCTTGCTGTTAGTGTACCTCATGATCAGTCCTTGGCCCTCCTCTCTTCTCTAACAGCACTAAATGCGTTGGAGGTTTCCAGTTACAGACCACTGACTCCCCAACTCCTACCTCTCTCCTGAATCCAGGCTCATTCCCCCAACTGCCTACTTCACAGTTCCACTTGGATGTCCAACAATATCTCAATGTCCATGTCCAAAACTGAACTCCTGATTCTACGTGCCACAGTCCCACCTCACAGCCTTCCTCATCTCAGTTGAGAACTCCTTCATCCTTCAGGCTTAGGCCAAAAATCCAGGCATTGTTCTGAATCCTCTCTCACAGCACACAGCCTATCTACCAGCAAATACTGAGGCTCTACCTTTATACCTTTTCAGTGTCCAACCTCTTCCCTCCATCTTCACTATTACCCCTCTGGCCCAAACAGACCCTCCACAATCCCTCACTTGAATTGCTGCAACAGCAATAACTGGCCTTCTGTGCCCCCGCCTCTTACAATGGATTATCAAACTCTTTTAAGCATGAGGCGAGTGAGTTCACTTCTCTGTTGAACTCTTATTATGACTTGCCTTAGAGCAAAAGAACATCCTTACAATGGCATAGCACTGCTCCTGCAGTGTCCTACTGTCCTTTCTCTGAGCCCACCCTCCTCTCCTCCCCTGGGCCCTCTGACTCCAGCCACAATGGCCTCTTGCTAGTCTTAGAACACACCAGGCAGGTGCCTGCTGCCATTTCTGGGTGCCATCTGCTCCCTATTTTGCCATACCACATGCCCCTATAGGTATACCTGTGGGCTCAACTCCCTCACTTCCTTCAAGGCTTTCTTCAAATGCCACCAACTCACTGAGGCCCTTCCCCAGCCATCCTATTTAAAACTGCAGCCTGACTCCTGACCCTAGCACTCTAATATCCGACTAGCTCACCTGAAGCACCAGTGCCCACAGCACTTACCACCTTCTAAGGGACTATGTTCTCTCCTTACTGATTAGGCCAATTGTCTATCCTGCAGGCTCCAGGAGGTAGTTTATCAACTGCAATTCTTAAGCAATGAAAGGGATTTCTGCATGCTTTGGTCACCAAAGTACACCTAGTCCAAGAGAGTGCTTAGCACAATCAAATATTTATTGAATGGTTGCATACACCAATAAATTTAGGATGAAGTTGGGTATTGTGCCTCAATAGTATAAACTAATATTTCCTTCCACTGTTAGTCAGTGAGGTAATTCTGTTTAAGAATCTGAAAATGGGCCAGGTGTGGTGGGGCTCACGTCTGTAATATCAGCACTCTGGGGGCTCACGTCTGTAATATCAGCACTCTGGGAGGCCGAGGCAGGCAGATCCTTTGAGCTCAGGAGTTCGAGACAAGCCTGAGCAAGAGTGAGACCCTGTCTCTACTAAAAAAATAGAAAGAAATTAGCTGGATAACTAAAATATGTATACATATAAAAAATTAGCCAGGCATAGTGGTGCATGCCTGTAGTCCCAGCTACTTGGGAGGCTGAGGCAGAGGATTGCTTCAGCCCAGGAGTTTGAGGTTGCTGTGAGCTAGGCTGATGCCACAGAACTCTAGCCCAGGCAACAGAGTGAGACTCTGTCTCAAAAATAAATAAATAAAAGAATCTGAAAACACAGAGTACTTAATGACTTAAACATTTAAAATGATGCTCATAAACATCTGAACCCTACAATGCCGGCTATTAGAGACTGGAGAAAAACATTTTATAGCTTGGTAAAACAGAATACTGACATTAATGGTAACTGTCTGCTCTGAAGAATTCTTTTTAGTCATCCTTTATCTGTTATGAAGATGGTAACCTTCGAGACACAAATAAATTAATATTACCATTCATTTTTCTTAATATTTCTCTTCTACAGAGAAAACTATCTATGCTATCATTAAAAATGTATTTTCAGGCTAGGTGCAGTGGCTCACGCCTGTAATCCTAACACTCTGGGAAGCTGAGGTGGGAGGATCGCTTGAGGTCAGGAGTTTGAGACCAGCCTGAGCAACAGAGAGACCCCGTCTCTACTAAAAATAGAAAAAAAAAATTAGCCAGGCATGGTGGCACACACCTGTAGTCCCAGCTGCTCAGGAGGCTGAGGCAGGAGGATCACCTGAGCCCAGGAGTTTGAGGTTGCTGTGAGCGAGGCTGACACCATAGCACTCTGGCAGGGCAACAGAGTGAGACTTTGTCTTAAAAATAATATATATTGTCACTTACATTTCGTAAGTATAAAAAAATAGTCTCTTTACTAAATTTTCAGTCTTTGATGTATAGTGTATTACTATGATAGATAAAAATGATACTTACACATCTTGAAATTCTTCTAGAGTTTTCTGTGGTGTAAATACATTTAACAAACTTATTATCTGAAAAGAGAAAATTAATTATACCTCAGTATGTCAGATGATTCTACCTGATTACAAAAATTAAGTTTAACATTGAAATGTATTAAAACTGGAAAAAAAATCACAGCAGAACTCAGAATTTATTATTACTGCTTTTACCAAAATATTCTATTACCTGGCATTTGATAAAAGTTAAACATTGATTCAAAGAGGCAGGAGGATCACTTGAGCCCAGGAGTTTGAGTTTGCTGTGAGCTAGGCTAACGCCATGGCATTCTAGCTTGGGCAACAGAGTAAGACTCTGTCTCAAAAAAATAAATAAGTAAATAAATAAATAAAATAAATAAGTAAAATAAAACATGCCTTGGAGAATTAAAACCAAGTCAAACCACAGACTCAAAAGAATGAAGTTAACTTAGTTTCATATTTAATGTCCTTACACCAGAAGGATCCAGCATAAATGTTAAAACAAAGGGAACTATAGAGTTTAATGTAATCTTAAATATTCACCCCCCTCCAAAAAAAGGGGGTGACACAAGCTGATCTCCAAAGCCCCTTCCATATTTAACATGTTATGTTTTCATAACATGACAAGGATATTAAAATAACACTCAGTGACCACTAGTAGGACATATGATGTGCGTGACTGAATATAACCCCACCTTCTAGAGGCATTATTTCTCCTGAACAGTTAGTGCTTTGATTTCTGTGGAGATGCTGAGTACAGCTATCCTAAATGTAAAATCATCTAATAATGTGTATTTAAAACTGAGATGAGGCCGGGCGCGGTGGCTCACGCCTGTAATCCTAACTCTCTGGGAGGCCGAGGCGGGCGGATTGCTCGAGGTCAGGAGTTCAAAACCAGCCTGAGCAAGAGCGATACCCTGTCTCTACTATAAATAGAAAGAAATTAATTGGCCAACTGATATATATATATATAATTAGCCGTGCATGGTGGTGCATGCCTGTAGTCCCAGCTACTTGGGAGGCTGAGGCAGTAGGATTGCTTGAGCCCAGGAGTTTGAGGTTGCTGTGAGCTAGGCTGACGCCACGGCACTCACTCTAGCCTGGATAACAAAGTGAGACTCTGTCTCCAAAAAAAACCAAAAAAACAAAACAAAACAAAAAAAAGTGAGATGTCCTATACAAGGTAAAAAGCCACTTATAGAACAATGTTTTTCCAAAAAATATTTAGTTATGTCTCAATTTGTTAGGTCAATGCTGTTCCTATTTTACAGAGATGGAAATAGTGAAAACCAAATGGTTACAGGATTAACCGACATTCCTACCTTCACAGACTGACCTAAATTCCTGTGGACCATGACACCTTTTTCTAAGTTCAATTTCCCCAATGTTAATTAAGAATTTTATCAATAATATATAACCATTTTAATAGCCATTTTTATCATTAGTTTATCCTAGGTCTGAACTCAATGTATCTTCAAAGGACCCTGAAGATTAAGACATCGTTGACAACATTAAAGCATACAGAAAAAATAACATAACTTACATTTTTATGATTGACACATTTTAAGAGGACGAGTTCACGATAAGCTCTCTTTGCATGAGTTTGATTCTGAAAAGGGCGGCTTAGTTTCTTGACTGCAACATTTATTCCAATAACCGTATCAAATGCAGCACTATAATTAGGAAATATAATAAACAATCCAATAGAATATTTTTGGAAAATATAGCAATACAGAATGTACATTCAGTGTATTATCTTTTTAGTGAATAACAAGGAAAACCTGCTTGCTTCCATGCAAGGCACTTGCACACATGAAGAGCAAAGTAAGCTTCCCAAGACTGCCAGGATGGACTAGCTCATCCACAAAGGCACACACATCTCAGCTACAGTTGAGCTGGGATTCAGCAACCCTTTGCACACTGAATTCTCATTTTATTAGTTGAGATTATTAGGTTCAGAACCAGGTAATTTAAAATAGAGCATGTAAGACTGGTCAATAAATGAAATCTTCAGTTTAAAAGAACTGTTTTTAAGAAGTTGAAAAAGAAAAAGATCACTGTTATCACAGCTTAAAACATAAGTATATTTTGGAGTATTACAGCAGAGGAAATGGTTGCGCTCATAAGAATATAATAAATCTAAGTCTTGAGTGATTTTGTCTTTTCCCAGACAAAAGTAAACAGAAGCTAAAATCGCAGCTTGTGGTAAATCCCTAAGATACAAAATCTCTAACATAAGCTATTGCTATACATAAAATTCTTCTAAAATACCTCTTCCTGTTATAGTAAGAATATTAATAACATCTAGAGGCATGTTTCTAGCACCTCAAGTTCCCTGTTGATATTTAGTGTTCATTTCCTCTCAGAAAACAGACATGAAAGATTGAGTACCTGACTGCACAGTTTTAGGTTTTAAACTTATCCTAAATAGTACCATTAGCATTATTATCTTTTGCTGCTCATCAGGGGTTAAAAGCTTCTAAAGGTCATCTGCGAACCTAAGCACCATTTTAAATATTGTTTCTGTTTATTCTATTAGGCTTACTAGAATTAACACTATATACATTTATTCTCTTCTATTAATAATGTTTTTTGCCAAACAACTCTAACTTAATTCAATCTGCTTTTAAGTCGAAGGCTATCTGCTATAGTATTTTAGAATTATTAGAAACTTCATATCTTACTTTTAATTACTTTTTAAGTTAATTCTTACAATGTGTATGTATAGATACATATGTAAATCCACATGCTCATATGCATATTAATTACAAAATGTAAAATTAAATCTATTTGTGAAATAAATCACAAGACTTTGAAAATGGACACATCTTTTTGGTCTCAAAAGTTTTTGCCCCAAATTTCAGTTAGGAGGAATAAGTTCAAGAGATCTATTGTACAATATGGTGACTATAGTTAATAACAATGTATTGTATTCTTGAAAATTGCTAAGAAAGTAGATTTTAAGTGTTCTCGCCACTAAAAAAATGGTATGTTGATAAGTAGCCATTCTACAATGTATGCATATTTCAAAACAACATGCTATACATGGTAAGTATATGTTATTTGTCAATTTAGAAAAAGTTTAGGTCCAAAATGAGCCAAATAGAGCAATTCTAAGCATCTGAGTGGACACATGCTTTCCCGCTCCTAATTCTGGCTCCAGGAGCAACTACCTTCAATTATGCCTGGTTTTGGTTCTTGTAGTCACTTCTTAACTCAAAAGAGTATGTTTTTATCACTATTTCTTCACTTATCAACTTTAGAAATGATCTATTATACTCCCCATTGCAAAAACTGAGCAGTTAGCCACTTCCTTGAAAGCCCCAATACCTCCCAGTTTTCTATTCTTATGATTTTAGGTTTTCCCTTGGTTACTTCAGTAACTTTAAATAAGATACCTAAAGTTCTTGTTTCCTTGGTTTTCAAAGGAGCCTCTTAACTCCTGGGTAAGCAAGATGAGACTATGACATTCCTTCCCTTACTCTTCTACCCTCCTCTCTTTTTCTCCAAACTTCTGCCTTAAATGGTCAAGCGTGATAACACATTTATATTTATAATTAAGCCTTCTGTGTTTCTTCTTTAGGATGTGTCTAAAAGCTGAAAATCAATATATAGAGTGTATGTAAATATTACTAACAGCAGAGCTGGGATTACATTTCATTTTCTACAGGTCACATGGCCCTTGCCACTTGCTCATAAGACTTCCCAGCATTAAGAGCAAATGGATTCTTTTTTCTTATATTCTATCACTTGCTCAAACATCATGTCCTTTTTATATTTCAGACCAGTGGTCCCCAATCTTTTTGGCACCAGGGATGGTTTTCATGGAAGACGATCTTTCCACAGTCTGGGGGTAGGCGGGTGTTGCGGAGCTCAGGTAGTGATGTGCAGCCCATTTACTAACAGGCCTCGGCCCTGGGGTTGGGGACTGCAGTTTTAGACAATGACTTTTTCTAGCTTTCCACATACACATTTCTAATAAACTATTTTTTTCTTATTAAGAGAAGAAAAATGTACCTATTTTTGGCCTATCACCAGTACTTCCTATAATAGCTTCTTACATTATCCATTATTGTTTGGCATCCATTCTCTTTTTCAAAAAACATTTTTCTTGGAGCTTCTTTCAAAGCCTGCTACGTGGCTAATACCCTGGGGTTTCTCTTCACTGGCCTTGACTGTTTCTTGTATTACATGTTCTTGTATTGTCCTTCCTGACGGAGTACATCCTCAAGGGATTTCCTCAGAAAAAGTACGTGGAAGACAAATGATCTTACTCTGCCCTCACCCTTGATTGATAGTTTATTTTCTAAGTTCAAAATCAACTTTCACTCAGAACTGTAAAGGCATGTTCCACTGATTTCCAACATTGAGTGTTGTTGCTGAAAAGGCTTATTTAGCCTGATACTGTACTCATACCTTTGCTTCTTTTCTGTTCTCTAGCTCAATGTTTCATCAAAGAGTCATGTCTGTCAGTATCCTAAAAGTCCCTCTCATATCCCCCAACTAATTACTGTCCCTCCTGGTCACCAAAGATAATAATTACTTCTGTTTATAACAATTACTTTCTTGCTGAACAAGCATCCTCAAGCCCTCATAGATTTTGCCTGTTTTTTAAAAATATTCTGTGTCTGACTTCTTTTGCTTAATATTATATTTATGAGATTCATCCATTGTTGTATATAGCTATAATTCATTCTGTATCATTGTTATAACATTCCTTTGTATACTGTATCACATAATGTTGATAGATATTTCAGTTGCTTTTAGTTTTCAAGCAATTACAAAGAAAGTCATAAACAGTTTTGCACATGGCTCTGGTTCCCCTATGCATGCATTTCTGATGAGTGATGGCTAAGAGTGAGAATGCATCTATTATATTTTAGTAGATAATGCCGAACTCTTTGCGAAAGTGGTTCTAGGCCCACTAACAGCACATGAAAGGTCTACCTCTGAGAACTGTCTGAGCTGTCCCACGTCCTCAGCAACCCTTGGTATTATCAACAGTTTACTTTTTAACCATTCTGCTGAGTACACAACATTATTTCATTGTGGTTTTAATATGCATTCCCTTGTTTAACAATGATATTGAACACTTTTTCCTATGTTTATTGGAAAGGTTATTTGGATACCCTCTTTTGTGACAATGTAATTCTGTTTGTCTGTCTTTATCTTATTGACTAGAGTTCTTTATATATTCTGAATAAGAGACTTTTGTCATATCTTCTCACATTGTATATTTATCTTTTCAGTTTCTTAATCATGTTTTTTAATAAACAGAAATCCTTAATTTTAATACAAATTTATCAATCTTTTAGATAAATGCTTTCTATCTCTTGTTTAAAGAAGTCCTTCCCTACCTCAGAGATCACGAAGAAATTCTCTTATATTATCCTTAAATAGTTTACTGTTTTGTCTTACACATTTAGAGCAATTCGACTAAGATTGATTTTTGTGTATAATGTGAGGTTGGGTAAAATTTCACTTTTTCCCCATATGAATATTCACATGTCCATGTGTTGAAAAGACTATCCTTTCCCCATTGCTCTGTAAGGCCAGCACTGAAGCCCGTATGTGCGTGGTTCTGTTTCTAGGTTCTTTATTAAATCTCGTTGCACCCACACCACACCACCCGATCACTACAGTTTGCTATTAACAGTAAGTCTTCACATCTGGCAGAGGGAGTCCTCCTCCCTTTTTCTTCAAGGGTGTCTTAACTTTATTGGACATTTATTTTTACACGCAAATTCTATAATCAGCTTAATTAAAAATAAAAAAGACTGCTGAGATTTAGACTGTAATCAATCTAGATAGTTTGAAAATGACACTTCTAAAGTATTAAGTATTCTAATTCATGAACATGACATATCCTATATATATATATATATTTTTTTTTTTTTTGAGACAGAGTCTCGCTTT